TAGCCCACATTCCATTAAATGCCATACACACTATAAGAGTATTTTTATTAAGAATGGCTTCTGGAATTGCAGTAGTTGTGTCACACAAATATGCTTGATGCTCGTCGGTGGCTTGGAAGAATACTCTTGGACAGAGAGTGAAGAACCTTCCTGCTTTGGGGTGGGTGTGTATGGGTTTACTTTGGAAAACAACCATGTAATCAGGGCAGAGCTGATTGGTTTTCCCCTCAGTTCCTTGAAATACTTTGCTAGCATTAAATTTAATTCTTTAAAATTTAAGTATTAACTGTTTATGCTTAAGTTTATGTATCAAGTATTTAAGCCATAAACCTCTAAAAGTGTAAGTATTTACTAAATTGGACACTAAAGCAGGATATGGTGATCTCTGTGTGTGGCTAAAATGTGATTTATTATTATTCTTTTTAAGCTGTTGAGTCAGTGCTGGCAGGAAAAAAACTTGGATTATCTGGTTTTCAAATCCATGTGGCTTTTCTTGGGTCTACTCAGCCAGGAGCCTGCCCCAGAGGAATGGGGCTTACCACACAACTCCTGCTGTCACTGGCTACTTAAGTTGAAGTCTTTGATTGAGCCCTATTCTATAAAGTGTATGTTAAAGGGATGTCATTTAGCAGATGAGAGATTATGTAAAAAGAACATAATAAAACCAAGGAGTAACACTTACAACTCCTCAAAATTTGGAATCCAGGTTGCAGAAAACCTCTTGAGTTTCACTGTTTCAGATCTTGCACTCCTTGTTTATCCAGCCAGAAGCCTCTGGTCAGGAAGGGCTTTTTGAGGAATACCTTCTGTGGTGGAAATAAACCTGCATTTCTGTTCTTTCCATAGGGGTTTCGTGTTGATTTACCCATCAAGTCTGCACGCTACCGAGGACAGTACAGTAGCTATCCTATCAAGCTCTTCTATACCTCCAACATTCCCATCATTCTGCAGTCTGCCTTAGTTTCAAACCTCTATGTCATTTCCCAGATGTTGTCCGTTCGTTTTAGTGGCAACTTCTTGGTGAACTTACTAGGACAGTGGGCAGTAAGTATTTTACCACTAATTTTAACTGTTTGTATGTATTACTTCATTGTGAAACTGGTATTTAAGCAGCAGAAAGCTGGAATACTTCTGAATGTTTGTATGTAAAAGCTCTTTCAGACACTGAAGAGGAATTCCTTTGAAAGTACAGGGTAGTACTTTACACTGACTGAGGGGAAATTTAGATTAGACATTAGGAAGAAGCTCTTCCCTGTGAGGGTGCTGAGGCGCTGGCACAGGGTGCCCAGAGAAGCTGTGGCTGCCCCATCCCTGGCAGTGTTCAAGGCCAGGTTGGACACAGGGGCTTGGAGCAACCTGCTCTAGTGGAAGGTGTCCCTGCCTGTGGCAGGGGTTGGAGCTGGAGGAGCTTTAAGGCTCCTTCCAACACAAACCGTTTGGTGATAGGAATGTCAGAGGTCTGTGGGGAATCTCATAGAATACCAGGTTGGAATGACCTCAAGAATCATCTATTCCAACCTTTCTTGGCAACATAACTGATTTCCTGTTTCTTCCCCTCTCACAGGATGTCAGTGGTGGTGGCCCTGCTCGCTCTTACCCTGTTGGTGGCCTCTGCTACTACTTGTCTCCCCCTGAATCCATGGGTGCAATATTTGAGGATCCTGTCCATGTCATAGTTTATATCATATTTATGTTGGGATCCTGCGCGTTCTTCTCCAAGACTTGGATTGAGGTGTCTGGCTCATCAGCGAAAGACGTAGGTGTTGTGACAAACCTGCCTAGATGTCTTCATTTAGACCTGCCTGACTACTCACTCATCAGTTACTCCTCTGACTAAATATCAGGTGACTGTGAAACACTGCAGCAGTTCCATAAAACTCTGTTTTTTGCAGGTTGCCAAGCAACTCAAAGAGCAGCAAATGGTGATGAGGGGCCACAGGGACACTTCAATGGTTCATGAGCTGAACAGGTAAGGAAGTGGTGACTTCCAACGGGCTGCTCGAGGGTGCTGTCAGCTAGAGCAGGTGTTCTTAGAAACATCTGAGACCTCTTTGCACTGCACATGTCCAGGTTCTTCCCTTTCAGCTGCTCTAGTAACACGTTTATAGCAGTAATAAGAGGTTTACCTGTAGCACCTCTTGTGTAAGTGGCATAACGAGGGAATTTGGCTTGACTCTCTTCTGTGTTTGTACAAGGAAGATTCCTTGGGTTTTACAGGTGTTTAGTTTACCATTACTGAACTAAGCTGATGCTACAAAAGTGGTATTTTACACAGTACACAAAGCCTGCAGATCTGTGTGGAAAGGTAGATGTATCCCTGCGTGTTTCAGTCAGGGCAGTTATCCTGCTCCTGTGGAGGTTACATGGGAATTCTCCGTACATGTGTGCTATCCTGGGCAGTGAAAGTCTTTGCCAGTGTTCAGTTATTGTCACAGCTTTCCTGTTGGTGAATATTTATTTTAGTCTCTGCTTTGTGCAACTGTGGAAAATGGCCCATGGCAATGCTAAACTTCATAGAATCACAGATGGGTTTGGGTTGGAATGGACCATAACGCTCATCCAGTTCCAAGCCCCTGTGTCCAACCAGGCCTTGAACACTGCCAGGGATGGGGCAGCCACAGCTTCTCTGGGCACCCTGTGCCAGCGCCTCAGCACCCTCCCAGTGAATGACTTCTTCCTAGTATCTAATCTAAATCTACCCTCTTTCAGTTTAAAGTCATTCTCCCTTATCTCTACATGCTCTTGTCCAAAGCCCCTCTTCAGTTTTCTTGCTAGCCCCTTGAGACACTGGAAACTGCTCTAAGATCTCCCCAGAATCACCTCTTCTCCAGGCTGAACAGCCCAGCTCTCTCAGCCTGTCTCCATAGCAGAGGTGCTCCAGCCCTTGAAGCATTTTCGTGGCCTCTGCTAGACTTGCTCCAACAGCTCCACATCCTTGGTATATTGGGGGCCTCAGAGCTGGATGTGGGACTGCAAGTGGGGTCTCATGAAAGCAGAGGAGGAGAATCCCCTCCCTCAACTTTTGTTGCTGAGTATTCCAGTTGGTTGTTTTAGTAACACATGCATTGTTAAGAGTCTTTGGGTGAAGACTCATGATGCTCAATACT